ATTTCTGAGGAAAAGTGACTATTCCTCCCCCAGATGAGCATCTTCAGAGCAGGAAGTATCTCCCAGGAGAGACCCTCCCCATGGTGCTGAGAATCTGCTCAGTTGGTTTGTTTGTTGGTTGGTTGGTTGGTTTGTTTTTGGACAGGGCTTCTCTGTAACTTTGGAGCCTGTCCTGGAACTCACTCTATTGACCAGGCTGACCTCGAACTCACAGAGATCCACCTGCCTGTTGCTCCCAAGTGCTGGGACTAAAGGAGTGTACCACCACCGCCCAGCTATGCTCAGTTTTTATCATGGACCCGAATGTGAGCTGTGTCACTTGGATCCAGTCACTTAGTCACTGGGAAGCGTTTTACTTGGAAATGATCTTTTAAAATTTAAAATGGGGCTTGTGTGAAGACAGCTCAGTAGATGAAGTGGTGTGGGAGGTCCTTCTGTCTTTGTGTTGCTTTCATTGGTTAATAAAGGAACTGCTTTGGGCCTATAGCAGAGCTATAGGGAAACAGACCTAGGCAGGGTAGAGGGGACGACTAAATGGCATGCTGGGAGAAAGGAAGCAGAGTAAGAGAGACACTATGGATCCGCAGCTAGAGGTAGATGTGCTGAATTTTACCCAGTAAGCCACTGCCATGTGGTGATATACAGATTAATAGAAATGGGTTAAATTAATATAAGAGTTAGCCAATAAAAATTTAGAGCTAATGGGCCAAGCAGTGTACACTCTCATGTGGTCCTCTGTAGAATAAAAAGGAGCTCCCTTATCTTGAAGAACTATGAAGATGAGTGAGAAATATATTTGAGAATCTTCTTTTTTAAAATATTTATTTACTTATTATGTATACAATATTCTGTCTGTGTGTATTCCTGCAGGCCAGAAGAGGGCACCAGACCTAATTACGGATGGTTGTGAGCCACCATGTGGTTGCGGGGAATTGAACTCAGGACCTTTGGAAGAGCAGGCAATGCTCTTAACCGCTGAGCCATCTCTCCAGCCCTATTTGAGAATCTTCTAAAATAAAGTCTTTAAGTCAAACAAGGACCTCACAGCTATCGGAGAGAAGAGTCATGGGGTTCCCAGAGCTGAAGACACAATAACACGGCATCTGAAGGCACAGCTGCTCAGAAGATGACAATCCAGGGTAGAGAGCAAAGTGAGGCGGGGAGAAAGTCTTCATGTGGTGTGGAGTTCAGGATGGAGTTGGGAGCCTACATAAGCATATAGTACAAGGCCCCAGGCTCCATCCCCAACATCAACATAAGGAGTTTGACATCTCTGAGGGTCATCATGGGAGGAGAGGCTGCACTAACAGGGTGAGTCTTCTAGATGGAAATTCCTCTAATCTACAGAGTATGACACCAGTGGTCAGAGACTTTTGCTGGTTCCCAAAGTGTTTTTAGCATCCTTTGCTTCAAGTTGGGTGTGACACCACTGAGTGATTTCTTCTTTAGATGTCATTTACAGAGTCAGCAGTGATCCAGAGAGTGAATACAGGGCAGGGCTGGGTGAGTACTGATCTCTTGAGTTGCTTTATCAGAGGCCTGAATGGACTTCAGTATATCGGTACAGGTGCATTGCACATCAGTACAAACACCCCTGATGAAGTGGAGGCAGGAGAGTAGGTGCTTGCTTTCAGCAGTCAGTGGACTGGCTTTGACATCACTTAGGGAAGTCACCGACGCTCACTGGACCTTAGGAGTCAATCAGCATCAACTCTGGTTCTATTTTCAAATCCTTGTTTTGGAGTGTGAGGGTTTTTAAAAAGCAGACTGATGAGTATACTGGACACTCCAGCAAAGAAAAAAAGTTACCCCAGACTAGGGATGTGGATGTGGCAAAGAGAAGGAAAAGGAAACAGGAGAGGACAACCATAGACCTGCTTTTACTCTGACATGAAGGGATAAAAGGACAGCTTAAACTACAAGGAACTGGAACACATTTAGGGGCTGGAGGTGCACTGAGTCCCACAGCAGACACTTGCTTGCAAGCACTAGGGAGGCATGTGGGATGCTATGCGCAAAAAGGCTGGGACTGTTTGAGTTCCAGAAGGGCAACTGTGGCATCTTGTGCGGCACCAAGAACATTCAGTGAGAAAGCAAGAGGCCTGAGGCCCCATCCTCACTAATATCCCTCACCCAATTCATTTGGGGGCAGTCAGAGGCCTGATTTCTAGCCCTCCCGTCATTGTTCTGAGAAATGACCCGAAATATCTGAGGAAACAAGTGAAGACTGCAGTCCCAAGGCTCTGGGGGAGTTAATGAGAACCGAAGGGCTGAGGTGGGAGGCCCAGGCTCAAGTCCAGTGGCCTTTGCCAGTGCTTTTGGTACTGAAAACCCAGTAGCTGGACTGAGACCTGGGAGCAGTCCCAGGAGGTCAGGAGGCCCTACTGAAAGGCATGGAAGAGTCCAGAAGTGTCAGCAGGACTTGGCAGTAGGGTAGCTGGGGCTCACTCTGCTGTTCTCCATGGGAACAGAGGATGCCATCTTTTAGTGAGATGAAAATCCTTTGTGGGGTTTGGGAATGTTCCCTCTCAAGACAAAGTGGAGAGAAAGGCAGGTCTGAATTCGTCAGGGAATAGTGTGACCAGCTTTCTCTCTATGTGGACTACCTAAGGATTTTGATAGTAGGTATGTGCATATTTTCTCAGTGCCCCGAGGATTCTCAATGATGGAAAAAGGAACAGAATAAGAATAGCAGCATCTCATCTGCCAGGACAAGGTTCAGTTTCAGCCTTCTCATCCAGCTTGTCACTTGGAATGGCAGAGGATGGTCACACTGTTGTGACCTCTAGCGACCCGGAGAAAATTCTCTTTATTCCCGGAAGAATAATCATGTCTTACTTAGGGTGTGTGTGTGTGTGTGTGTGTGTGTGTGTGTGTGAAGTCTTGTCTTTGCTTCCTGACAAGACCAAGACCACTGTGCAGCTAGGAAGGACAGGAGCAACAACCGGTTACACACAAAACAAGCCAGTGCTTTCTTTTCTAATCCTACCCCCCATTCTTACCCAGCCGGCTTCCACCAGGAGTGACCTCCCGTCCCATCATCTCATTTGATTGCCAAAAAAGCATTTCTGGAACTTTCTGCCAAACACCAATTAGGATGGTTTCCCATAAGGAAGCAAATTTATTAACAATCCTATTAACTACAAAGATACTCATATACAATCACTCTCAAATCTCTCAGCACCCCACTAATGTATCAAGGAGTCAAATACACTTTCTCAAGCATCACCTACACCCACCAGAGGGGATTTTCTTACTTCTCCAAGAAGGTATTTGTAAGTTCAAATCCAGTATTCTCTGCCCTGGTTATTTATTCTTCTCGCAAATCCTCAGGTTGATTCGCTTAGTTCTATTCTAATTAAGTAAGGAAAGGAGAACTTTTTATGCCCTCACCTTTGCTTTTAAACAGGTTAGCTTTGAACTCACAATCCTCCTCCCTCAGTCTCTGGAGTCCTGGAGTGATAGGCATGGACTACCATGCCCAGGCATTGGGTGTTTTTCAGTGTAAGAAAGTTGGGTGCATGCCAACAGCTGGAACCTACAGCTCCCCCTGCTATTCCACCCCGGTGAGATCACAGAAACATCTAAGTAAAAAAAAATATTCCATGGTATCCTCCCGCCATCACAGGGAACCTGTCCACCTTTGACCCCTTTACGGATAGCCACATGAAGGATCCTACTGTGAAACCGTGGTCTTTGGGTTAAAATGTCTGGAGGTTTCCACAAGTCAAGGACGCTCAGTTTCTGATCTAGTTTTAGACATTGTTTGGCCCTAATGCCTGGACCTTGGAATTCTGTTTGACTACGGTGAAATTTCCAAAATGAGACGTGTTTAAGACACTTTCTTAACTCGTGGGCGTGAATATCTCGGGACGCCTCTGAGGAAAACTGTCTGAAAAGAGAAGCGGCAGGCTCCGTAATGACAACACCAGTCCTTGGCTGAAAGACCGCTGGACTGGTCCTGATGGCGTTTACTCTCCCAGGGTGGAACTGCCGCGACCTTGAACAAGTGTTTCTTTGTTGCCCTTCAGTCTGTGAGAAAGTGTGTCTTGGGGCTGGTTGCGTTCGTTTAATGGTGTCTGAAAATAGGAAGTAAGGTCGAAAGGGCGAGGGAGGGGGGAGAAGTCACTCAAAGATGGTCGGGTGGCCAGTCAGAAAGGTGAAACCCGGGCTTTGAAAATCATTTACACTGCTCTTTAACTACAATGGCACCTCCCAACCCCCACTCCTGACTGCTCAGCACTGGACAATTCAATTGACTTCTTTTGTAGCGGGTTTATTGCTCAGAACCCCCAGGGTCTGGATTTGCTTGTGGAAGAAACACACCCCACGGCGCTGCTTTGGAACCTGCCCCTCCTGTCTGGTCTCCCTTTCTTGGGGCCGGAGAGGGCAGTGGGAAGCAGACCAACTCCGTGTGGCGCCCTTGGACATGGCACCTACTCCCCGCGCTGCGTCTGGAACTCTTCGGGAGTAGTACTAGGTCACTATCAAACCTCTGTGCATCCTTCGCGAACTTGCAAGAGTCCTGGAAGGGTCTGATGATGGCATGGAAGCCCCAAACCCGATCCATGCTAGAGCACCCGTTCTATGCCCGGGGTATGAAAAGAAACATCTCCGACCGGTCTCTGAGAACAGTCACCCTTGGGTTGCTCAGGCTGCCGGCTGGAGGCTGGTTGGCCGGAACTCCAGTCCCTCGCGCCTAGGACCTCTGCTAGATGTTCCAGTTCAGTGGAGAAAACCCAGGGCTGCGCCGCGCAGCACTGAGGACCCAAGGCGAGCGTCACGGGCTGTAAGTAGTGCAGGGAGCTGAGCGCTGGGCAGGTACCAAAGAAAGCACCTCGCTCAGCTGCGGGAACTGGGAACTGAGGACAGCGCCCCTGCGGCTGCCAGTCCTGCGGGTCCCCTCCCCGACCACTCCACGCGCTCTGATTGGCTGGCGCGCGGGGTCCCTGGCACGCGCCTGTGGATGTAGTTATAAGAATCCTCGCGTGCCAGCCCTCAGCTCCAAAAAGCGGGTCCCAGCCCTCCCCAGTGCAGCCCCAGCGCCAGCCAGAGCCAGCAGCAGCGCACTTCAGGGAGGCCCTGGGGCGGGGACCCGCAGTCTCCTCGCCTTCTCCAGTGCCAGCTCCACGAGGGAGGGGCTGCGGGACCTGCCCGAACTGCCACGGATCTTTCATCAAGCGTCACCCATAGCAGCCCAGTAGTCTCCCTGGGCCTCGGCGGCGGCCGTCATGGACGCCGTGTTGTTGGAGCACTTTCCCGGGGGCTTGGACACATTCCCGTCTGCTTACTTCGATGAGGAAGACTTCTTCACCGATCAGTCCTCTCGGGACCCACTGGAGGACGGCGACGAACTGCTGGGGGATGAGCAGGCGGAGGTGGAGTTCCTCAGTCACCAGCTGCACGAATACTGCTACCGCGACGGCGCGTGCCTGCTGCTGCAGCCCGCGCCCTCGGCCGCCCCGCATGCGCTCGCTCCGCCGCCTTTGGGGGACCCCAGCGAGCCCGAGGACAGCGGCAGCTACTGCTGTGAGGCAAGGGCCCCCGTAGGCGGCTTCCCCTACTCGCCCGGCTCGCCACCCTCGTGCCTTGCCTACCCTTGCACCGCGGTACTGTCCCCTGGGGCGAGGCTCCGTGGTCTGAACCGGGCGGCTGCAGCGGCGGCAGCGCGGCGACGGCGACGTGTGCGCTCCGAGGCGGAGCTGCAGCAGCTGCGACAAGCAGCCAATGTGCGCGAGCGGCGCCGCATGCAGTCCATAAACGACGCCTTCGAGGGGCTGCGTTCGCACATCCCCACGCTGCCCTACGAAAAGCGCCTCTCCAAGGTAGACACGCTGCGCTTGGCCATAGGCTACATCAACTTCCTCAGCGAGCTGGTGCAAGCAGACCTGCCACTGCGCGGTGGTGGCACAGGTGGTTGCGGGGGCCCAGGTGGCAGCAGGCACCTGGGTGGGGACAGCCCGGGTAACCAGGCCCAGAAGGTCATCATCTGCCATCGAGGCACCCGTAAGTGCTTCTGAGTCTTAGTATCAGCTGAGGGAAACAGGACGGAGACAGAAAGTTAGGAGGTCTGGCGCACAGGGCTGATTGATAAGGGTAGACCATGGGTGGGCACTAGGAACCTTTAGGACGACCTTTTCGATTCTGTTTTCTGATACTTGACCCAAGCTTGGAGGACGTGCGTCCTAGTCAGACATGCACCTCCTTTGGTTTCAGGGAGAGGGTGCTAAGAGTTTGAGAGGTGGAGTAGAGAAGTTAGTGTCTCAGTTGCTTGCTTCAGAGCAGACTGAAGGACCATGGGTGACTACTGGGAACGTAGTTGGGTGTTCACAATCTGTTTTCTCCTTTCTCCTTCCCAGGCTCGCCCTCCCCCAGTGACCCGGATTATGGCCTCCCTCCTCTTGCTGGGCACTCTCTCTCATGGACTGATGAGAAACAGCTCAAAGAACAAAATATTATCCGTACAGCTAAAGTGTGGACCCCAGAGGACCCCAGAAAACTCAACAGTAAATCTTTCGACAACATAGAGAACGAACCACCTTTTGAGTTTGTATCCTGAGAAAGCTCACACCAGGCCAGCTGTGTCTTTGTGCATATTGTACGGTGTAAATACTTATAATGTAAATGTAATTTAAAGATCACAATTTTCTAATGGCAATCAGCTGTGTTATTTATCTATTTATTATTGTGTTGAGTTAATGAAATAGATTGTCTCTTTTTAAATATATAATTTATATAATTTATCATAATATTCTATAATATGCAACAGTGGATGATTTTCCCCGGCACCTTTGGCAGAACTCTTGAGTTGTTGGAAGAACTCTGGTCAGAAAATTTCAAGCTTATTTAAAGCCAGATCTGACTTATTTCTACGTGTTGTTAATAAATGCTATTCGCTCTTGTTTCTATAAGTTGTTTGTTTAGTAGATCATAGGAGTAACTGTATTCAAAAGAATTAACTTTCTTTAAAGTGACAAAAATAGAGGCTGAAATCCTAACCGTCTAGGAGTAAACTATATTTCATTTAGATTTGATCTAAATGGGAGTGCTTGTAGATGGGAGAATAAAGCTATGCTTTCTGATAGCCACTCATCTGTCATCGTGGATCTCAATAGTAATAACTTTCCTGTATTCATACCCTCACTACCAAATATCCCACACGACAACTAGGTTATGGGTAATGTATTATTCCCATTTTCCAGAGTGGGAAAGCTGAGGTCTAGAGACACTGCTTGGCATGCCCAAGTGACTGCCATAGTGCTTAATCAGAGTCTAGATTCATGACTAGGCAGTGGAAGGGGCTTTTCTGCTTGCAATGGCTAGGGAGAAAAAACTGCTCCAGAGCTGGGCCCTGATGCATCCCTTTTGCATGTAAACATCAGGTTCCCGAAAGTCATACTCTCCCCTGAAAGGAAATAAAGAAGTTGATCTTGTCAGGAGACCCCGCACAACCTTCAGAGGTTTGGGGTAAGAGAAGCTGTTCACCCCATGGCCATTCAGCCTAGTCCTCCTCTGCCCACAGCAGGAGGAAGATCAGCTTGAGACAGAGGTAGCAGGGTCGCCCTCTAGCGAACCGAAAGAGAAGCGATGGAGAAGTTTGAACTCTCATCCAGAAAGCCTAGGGAGCCTGGGCTGGACTTGTCTCGCTATGGGCCACAGTGGACTCCTAGGCGCTCTAGATGCCGGCCAGTGGTGTCTGAGCTCTGGTGGCTAGTGGGGGACCGGTCCGTGGGGGCTGGGCAGGAGACGCTCACTTGGGCATGGAACCTTTGGTTAGGAGCCGCCGCAGGCCGGGTCAAGGTAAGTTGTTTCACCGAGTAGCTCAGGCCTGGGGAGTCAAGGTGCGACCGCCCATCTCCCCATTGACTACTCAAACCCCGCCTCCCCCCCCCCCGCCCCGCGCGCTTGCCTGGCTAGAGGACGTCGTATAGACAGCATGCTAATCGCTTTAACCTAGTTTCAGACCCACCGAGGGGTTCCCCCGCGCGCGCCGCGGGTGCCATGGACTTCATCCAAGAGTAATTAAAGCGAGGCTAGGAACTGGACCTACCCTGCAGAGCGGCCTGGCCAGACACGCTAAGATTCTGGGTCGCAACGTTACCCAGGAGGCCTTGAGCCCTGAACCCTCTCACCTTCTCAAGCCTTCTCCTCTTCTCCCACCTCCTCTCCTCGTAAAAGTTGGTTTTACTCTGGAGATATTTAAGAAGGAGAAAAAAAAATAATTCGATTTTGCCCTGTATTATGGCCTCATTAAACACGAAAGTTGCTTTTGTACAAATGCTCCCATCAGGCATGTAATCTCATTACACTCATTAGAAAGTCAAATGTTAGATTCTAACTTCCTTATAAGTTATGAAAGTGTATCTTTTTTTTCCCCTTCTGTGTAGACCTGCCTTTCGATTGGATGGGGCAGTGTCGCACTTCACAGTTCAAACACTACAATCATTGTGGTGTGGCACCTTTCATTTCGAATGCCACTTTTTTTGTGATTCAATGCATCAACACATCCTTTAGTGCTGTGCAGATGAAGCGGAAGAGCCCAGCTAGGCGTGCAAAGCACCAGGGTCTCTATCTTGTCACTCTCGTGTCCTGACTTGGCAAGTCCCTTTAAGCACAATCTTCAAAGAGACTGACAGTTTCTTTTTATTTACTCATAATCTATTCATTCCAGTGTAGCAATTCTTTTTTTCTTAAAATATACAGCAGTAAAAGCAGAACAAATGTATCATTTCAGAGGCTCCTTTGGCACCAGTGAGGCCTGAGTTGTGCTGGGTGCAGGGGAGCCAGGCTGGGGAGTCTCTGGCCTGAGCCATCTCTGGCCCACAAATACAGCCTGGCACTGGGAAGACCAATGTGGGAACAACTTGAGTGATAGGCATTCAGCAGTCCTAAATCAATACTCCCCTACCACCACCCTACTCCAAATTAGGAAAATGCTCAACAAAATGATTGCTGGGTGGCTATGGTTAGGTTTTTGCCAGGCCTTGCTGTTTGAACTCATCGTCCCTTGTGCTGAACCCTGGCCTGCCACCACTAGGGGAAAGACTTTAAAGTTCACTCTGGTGGCCCTCGTCATTTAGCATAATAAAGACGCTGTGAACCCAGGCAGGGTGTATTTTATGATCTTTACTGCAGAGCTGGCGAAACCATTACTCAGTGGTCCAGTTTCCACTGCTGGATATGGGGGTGGGGCAAGTGTGGCAAAAGATGCAATGCTTTACTGAAAGTGGGGTGTCCTGTGACATGCCCTCCTGCTCTCCCCAACTCCGTACCCTCTCTGGCCAAAGTCACCTCCACTCCTGCTTTCTCCATTCCCGATTATTGAACTGATCTGTCTTCCAGTCTGAACACCAAGGACAATATTTAGTAAAAGCTTCTTTACCCCACCCTCTCATTCCCTTCCACTTCAGGTGGGTGAGCCTCCAGGGTCTTCTTTGTCATGTTGTGAAGGGATAGATGTCACCCCATTTCCAAGAAAAAAGGTGGCTTCCTATTGTCAGCGCCTAGAAAGAACATCCATCGTGCCCTTCCTTTTTATTCTCCTGGTGGAACTTCCAGTTTTGAGGTGAACTTGGTGTGGGATGACTCCTGAAGTGAGGAAGGCCTAGAGAGGTCCAAAGAGGACCAGGGAGCTCCTTCTGCAACCCAGCCTGGGCAGCTTCGGGAATGGAGCCCCCTAGTGGAGCCTCTTCCTGTCCATGGAGGATACACTGTGTCTTCACTAAAAACTCTGGGAAGCAACTGAATTCTGTGGGTCTCACCAGGCAGAAAAAGTAGGTGGGAAAGAGAGGGAGTCTTGCACCCCAGACTGGGAGTAGAGGGCATAAAAGGCCTTGTTGGAGCTCATGTGAAACTGCCTGCCAGCCTTTCCCAGGACTGCTCATCTGCCAGTACCAGGATTAACGCCCCTCCATGGAGAGGGTGTGAAGCCTTTTAAATCCACAAACTCATCCTATTTCCATTAATGGGCCTTTGCGGTAGCACCGAGTACCAGCTGCGAGGTTGAACAAACACCAGTTGAGTACTCCCTGGCGAATCTCTCTGGGAAGAGCCCTTTCCCTCCCTCTCTCCCTCGCCCTCCCCTCCCACAGCCTTTCCAGCGCCTTCTGCAGCCTGTGGGAATGGTCCTAAATAATTCCACAACCAATTGCGTTTTTTGAGATCTGGAACCACTGGTAGGAAAGGATTCCCACGACAGGATGAGAGGCCTGGCCAACAGGTGTTGGGATTTGGCCCAGGGAGATGGAGAAACCCAGGGAGAGAGACAGGCCTGCCAGAAAGCAGACTGCTCAGGGCCTCACAGCTTTACAGGCCGTGGAAGCTGCAGACAATCGAAATGATATCTTTATTGCTAGGTTCATGTCCTGGGCTATAACATATCAATCCCTGTCGTGGTTCTCTGGGATGCACCTGGTATTTCAAACTTGTTCTTTTTGTGCTTCTGGGTCCTGGACTGCAGCTGCCTAAAACAAGCAAAGAGAGAGGCCCTTACAATGTCTCCAAGACGTGTTGGCATGGCCTGCCTGTCTTTAATGTACCATTAACCATTGTCTTCACACAATATGGGAACTGTAAAGCATGACATGTGTTATAATAAAACACATTTTCAATGATACACTTGGACTTGAGGCTGGGGTGTAGCAAACAAACAGGCCCAAATCTTGTTTTGTCTCCCTTGCTAAGCCCACTGGCAATTAAACTTAAGACCACTGTTTCCCCCACTCCTCACCAGCCAATTAAGTTTTATGTCTCCTAATTTTTCACATAGAAAAAAGTCTCAGTGCTTGCCCCTAAAGACATTGATTTTCTTGCTATCACCTGGCGCTCAGACCTTAGTTCCATTTATCAAGAAGGGAACGTCAGGCGTTACATAAAGTGACTCTGTTAGCATAAGGCTCTCACCATCCTGGCCCATTGTTTTCCCTTGTTAATAACTCATTACCAGGATTTAACAAATCAACCATTACATATGTTTTGTGTCTCCATATTTTGATCCGTACGATTAAGCAGATGTTACGATTGAAAATTGAAAAGTCCAAGGCTACTCCAGTCTGAAAGAAAGAGGGCAGCCTCAAACAACGAGCTAACAATGAGATTCAGAAGATCTTCAGAAAAACATTTACCACCAATAAACAGACTCCAACCTGCTCCATTTCAACCATTGTGTGCTTTGGGGGAATAATTAAGTTTAATAGGAATAGGTCTGGAGGGTTTTCAATGCCAAGACCACAGGTGCGGGGTGGCATGATGAATGATTTGCCTGATTTTTGCCAAGCTCAAGGGCTCTTCTCTTGGACTTTCAAGCAGATAGAAAATATTGTCATTTCTTTTAATTCACAGCATTACTTTCAAACCGAACAAAGGCTGGGGTAGGGGGGAGGCGGGGGAACGGCTCGGCTGTAATGAAGCGCTTCGGAGGCGGAGGTGCAGCCGAGGAGGCTGAGGCCGCGGCTGAGCGCGCTGCTGCGTTTGTGCGCAAGTGACACTCCTGTGCCACACACAAAAGGCCTTCTTCTCCCCACCTTCTGCTGCTTTTCAGACCTCGGTCCCCTGCCAAACCGGCTCCTGGGACGTCGGTGGGCTCCTGACCTCCTATCCAGGGCAACCCAGCCTTTGGGATAACGGTCGCTGCCAAAGCGAACCTCACCAAACTTTCCCCAAACTCGGCCGCTGGGGAGTCCCCCTGGCCGTGGGCGCGCATGCGCCCCGTCTGCTCCTGCCTATTCCCAGGGTTCCGGAGAGCCAGGATGGATTCGGAGGTGTAGCCCGGGAGGCCAACCTAGCCCCAGCTACCGGAAAAGTTGGGGTTCAGGTGCAGTCTGTCCGCCTAGGAGGCTGGAAGCTGCTGTTTGGCGCCAGCTCTCCGCCGTTCTGCTATCTTTGCGCATGGAAGTCTCCAAGAGGGGATCCCGGAAGCGGCGAGTTGAACTGGGGGCCATCGGCCAGGAGGGGGCCCGTAATTGGGGCTCCAGGCTTTCTCTAAGGAGGCCCCGGGTCACTGCCGCTCCCTGGCTCGGCGGGGAACCTCGGGTAGTCCCGCTGCCAGAAACCAGGTAGCCAGAGCGCAGTTTGTTGGCGGGCTGGTTTTGCTTGGTGGCCCTAGCGTCCGCGCTGGCGGCGGCAGCGGTCGGGGCACAAGCTTCTAGCTGGTCCCACTTTTGGACTCTTGGGGGTCTACCGTTGCTTCTCATAGAGGCTTGACCCCTGGATGATCTTCATAGATTAATGACAGCAGGTTTCCTGGCGTGTCGGCATCAGTTCCAAACAACCTGTTGCGCTGGCATTGCTTTGGAGAGGCACCGACACTTTACTTAAGGGAGGCAGGCTGTGGGGCAGCTCCCGCTTCCAGTACAGGCTTTCGGGTTCTCTCCTAATGACAGGCACCCCTCTCCTTCTCCCTTGATACCCGGAATGCTTCACTCCTGCCGATGTCCCAGCAACCCACGGTGTCCTGGGCACTCCTGTACCTTGCTTCCTCTAGGATTTCCCCAAGTAATTCTCTATACTTTGGGCAGCAAGATTAGACAAAGATACGGATTAGAGAGACACCAGCTAATCCATCACTCCCCTCACTCCCCCTGCTCGCTTCCCTCAACCCTCCGCAGCCAGATAAAAATCTTTGGTGTGTAAGAACCTGAGAGAAAAAAAAAGCTAGTGTTTTATTTGCGCTCCTGTCTTAAAGTACTGATCCGTGAGGGGAATTCTCTCTCCTAAAGATTTTAAAAAATTATTTCTATTTTTCAGTTTCTCTCCAGCGACTACATAGGTGCCCCTTTGGCTTCTTTCATGATTGAGTACCAGGTTGTCTCCCCAAGAGCTAGTCACCTACAGCTGGAATATAAGAAAGACATGGAAGCGTACTGGGGTGAGAAATCTACCTAGGAGATCCCCTAGAAGTTTTAGTATGAGATCCAGATGAACAAGCTTTGACATTAAGAAAAACAAAACTAAACTTGCATTTGCTCTGGATGAATTCAGAAGAAATTAATATCCAGCTAACGGATCTGAAATAAGAATAGAAAAATTTTAAAACAAGCCATTTCCAAATGAAGGACGCTTGGCTGCAACCCTACAGAGAGCGCGAGTGCATACAATTAAATATTAGGGCTCAACAATTAGCATTTGAGGCAATAGCAAATGTGTGACTCCTCACAGCAATTATTTGGAAGTTTTTCCATACTTTTGAAAACATACTTGACGCCTCATTTCTTTGATGACTGCTCAATAGACACCCTGAAGCAGTAGCGGAGCTGCCCCCTCCCCAGCGCCCCTCGAGCTTACAGGGCTTTCATCCAGGGCTTGAATTGTGTTGTCAAAGTTTAGTAGACAGAGGAGGGGGCATGAGAACGGGAGGGTGTCTTGAAAAGTCTTGGAAATCGGTATATTTTGCAGGTGTAGAATGTGCCTAATAGCCATGGCTAGTGCGCGCTCCCCAATGGTGAGAGTGTGACAAGGACAGCTGGCTAGTTTTCAGTGTGAAAACACCCCCTCGGTGGACCAAACACAACGACACTGACCTTTCTGCGGGGGGAACCAGGGATGTGCCTTTGACTGAATTAGCCACAAAGACGTCTTGCTATGACTTTTGTTCACCACGAAAGCAAAGAAATATTGCGTCTAATATGAAAAGTACTGTTCACAGCTTTTCCGTGCCCCTGAAGAAGTATTACAGCGCTGATTTACTAACCCCCTTCTCCAGAGCTGGCTGGCCACAAAAACGGGCTGGGGGTGTAAGGGTGGGGATGGGGCAGTGGGGACCCTGCAGGAGGAGGCGGAGCTGGTGAGTTAAATTGCTGGTTGCTGTTTCCAAGTTCTGTCTGTGCAGCAGCAAATTTATCAATCTTTTCTTCTGACAATACTTTGAAATATATCATTGTCATCCCAAGTTGTTTGATAGATTATCTGCAGGCGCACAGCCTTTTCCAAGGTCAAGTTGAAGATTCTTGTTTGCTGTTTAACTGGGTTGTTTAAAAACTCAGAACAATGCCTGCCTGTTAAATTTTCACTTGTTCTCATGGGACATTGGAAAGCAAGCTTTCCTGCTGACTGGGTGTCTGGATACTTCATCTTTTTGAGCTAAATTTAGCAAGCAGGGTTTTAGCAATGAGATCAACAGTAGGAAAAATGAGATTTAACCTTACCACTTGCAGATACAGAGGAGATTAAGCTGTCTCTCATCTCTCACCACAGTGTGCACCAATTTTTATGTGTGTTAGTGGCTAGTTACAGTCACACGCATCATGTTCAATTTTATAATTTCATTCTAGTGGGAAGCTACAAGTGTACTCTTCTAAAGCAGAAAGACACAGAAATTGTGGCCACTCCCGTGGGGTTTGTTGTTGTTTGCTGGACAGAGCATAGCCTGTTGCTTTAAAGCTGCCGTAAAAATTAAAGTCAACTCAAAACCATCATGTTTCTGGACATACTTATTTCTGTTTTTCATCTCACAATTCACTTCACAGTTTCCTCTATATTTGCAATGATTGATTTTTTTTATTCAACTAACTTTTATTTACCTTGCAATAATGATCTGGACCAATGTGATAAATTACAGATATGCAAATTTCTTTGAATGGTGTTGTAAGTGTGTCTAGCTGGAGCTGAATGACTCCTTGCAAGTCAGTCTGTGCGCGCTCAGGACCCCAGGGAGCTGATCAAAGCACCCATTCTCTTTCATCCCCAGTATTCTCCTCCAAACTATTTCGATACAATATGTTTCCATGATGCACTTAATGTGCCAGGGACATAGAACTCATTACAACCTAGCTAGTTCTGCCGACCTCTTTGTTCCTCCGCAGAAAGTCAAAGAAAAAAGGAAAAGGCCTGCCAGTTGCCAGCTTTCTGAGATGCTAAAGCATGCGTCATTTTTCACCAGGTCTGGTCTTGATATCCTCAAAAGACAAACTATGAAACCGGCCTCAGCCCTTTCTGGCATTAATTACACTGCTGTCCAGCCGATCTGTTTTTCCTATTATATGCATTTCTCAGCAGGGATTTTTTTTTTTGCAAGACTAATGCAGCTGCGAGTTAAACTATGAATGCATTTTTATCACTATGGAAAAAAATGAGTGAAAAGGCCGCAAAGCATACAGCACACACTTTCAAAGCTTTCTGGTGGGTAGCAGATTTAGGGCTGGCCTTGGGAGGGGCTGCAAGGTCTCTAAATCCAAAGCTGGGCAGAGTCTCTGAAGTTTCCAATTCACTCCGTGTCTGTGGGGACACTTATTGTGCCGTTTGAAATTCCACTTTGGTACCCAGATAACTCCGAAAGGTTAAGAAGGACCAGTAAAATTCTGAAATGGAAGGTCTTACTACATCCAACCAGAAGTCACTTCCACAAAATATGACACAGGATAATGACACAGAGAGTCTAAATTTTATGTGATATCCTTCGTTTCTTGTAGGGTTGATTGGTTGGTGGGAATGGCTGGCAGCCAGTTCTGGGAAAGATTCCAGACCTGACTCCGATTAACCCTCTCTGGTGAAACTCTGCTGGAAACCAACTCACCAGCAATTGCCATTAATCTACTTACTAATTAAGCCAATTCATTTCTAAAGGAGAAAAATTCCTTTCTTTAGCCAAACTGATGGGAGGAAATTTGAAAGAAGCGCCAAACTGTGTAACTGTAATTCAGCCAAGGACTGCTAAAACAAGGTGTTGATATATAGCAGCAGATTTAAAACAAGTTTCTAGGGCAACACTCCTTTGGAGGCGGTGGCATATAGTGCATAGTAGATGAAGCTCGAATAATGCTCCACGGCGCCATGCCATCCCATGTACTAGCGTTCAAAATAACAGGTCTTTCCCCAATTAAATCTTGTTCCTTTTACGCACAAATAAATCGCCTCTCCAGCTTTCTTTCGGACCAGTCTATGCCAGCTTTATGTGACAGCTACTCCAAATATATCGCTTGCAACTTAGTAAGTAACCTTAGAATTTGTTGCCCAGAATCTAGGATCAGGTACAAGGCAGACAGCCTTGAAGTTCAGGGAATAGAAAGGACAAAGTTGAACATTACGCATGGGAGAGAAGCACCCTGTCTCTGCGGTAAGTGGTACCTGGCTTGCAGACAGAGCAATTATACATTCATTAATCTTGGTCTTCCTTCTTACCAAGAAGCAAAACTCCAAAGAGTTTCCTCACTTACCAAAGAATTATTTACTGCCTTTAGGACGCCTCTAAAGAGTCCTGTAAGGAAATGAGGACAAAGTGCACCTCCCAATAGGAAACGCAAAACCTTCTTGCCTCCGGTTTATGCTCACCTGCTTTAGACCGTGGACCCAGGAGGTAGCAAGTTGGTTTGGCTTTGCATAAGCTACTGAATGCATTGGGGGGACGGGTGAGTCAAACAAGCTTAGGGCCTCGATTTTTACTTTTATTTTTATTTTTATTGAAATCCATTCTTTCTCACCCTTAGGCACTGGGGCAGGCCTCTGAACTTCAGAAAGGATGCCCCACAGTTTTACCCTGAAGGGCTTCCGTAGGGCTTGAGAAAGTGCGCAAAGGCGCACGTACCTCTCCACCTAAGCGAAGCACCGGGCTCGCTTCCTGTACGTGAAGAGCAGAAGCTAAAATGATCAGTATAGAACCATCTTGGAGACCGTATTACTTGCCAGGGGTGGGCAAGTCTTATGCCAGCCAGGATGAGGAACATCTTCATCTGAGGCTGCGTCTGCGGAGCCCAGATTGCTGTGCCATTATTTATGTGACTCCGCACGTCTTCCAGGAATGTACTGGTGCCTGAATGATTTCTCCAAATGCTTCTCCTGAGATGTAAGCGACGTCGCTAGAAATGAGGAAAGATGAACAGATAAGAACCTTTCTTTTACCGGTCGCTCTCCTCCTTCTCCGACCCCCTCTCCCTGCACTTCACATTTTAAAATGGCCCTTGCCCAGCTAGGGGCTTTTTAAGTCACCAGGAAGGTAAGTGGTGGGTAGGTAGGTAAGTCAGGGGGTCAGATCATCCTCAGGTTTCAAAATAGGCTGCGCCAGCCAAATTTGCCTCTGTGACAGCTTTCCTGGTGATCTTAGGTGTCTGTGAGCAAAGCCACTTCTGTTTAGAATTATGAGTCATTATGAGAGAATAGAAAAAAAGCGGGGTGGGGGAGGGGAGACAGTTCTCTGACTCTGGAGATTCAGCGTTGAGATTCTAAAGTAACTTGACATTCCCCTCTGTAAGATGGAAAGTTAGGAATGGGGAGAAAAGAAAACTAAAGAAGCACCCCAGAGGCTGTGAAACTGGAAGACACCACTCCCTCTTCTAGGCTAGATTCTACCCTGTAGGGCGGGGTGTTTACCTGGTGTGTAAACTGTGAGCCAAGCCCTGGGGGTCTGAGAAAGGAAAGCCACAACACGAGCTGCGGTGTTTTAGCTTTGAAGATAAACAAAGACCAGGAACTGAGCTCCCTGAAAGCCAGAAGCTAGCGTGGAGAAGGCAACAAAGACTTTCAGCCTGTGGTCACCGGTAGGTGTCAATGTGGACACTTACTGACTAGGCGGTAGGAGAGGGGAACAGGGAGCCAGGTTGTCACTCCAAGGCTCAACAAGAACAAAGATAAAAACGTGACAAGCTCTGTTTTCAACAGTGGCGAGGTTCAAAGTGGAGCGCTTCAGAGTCTGTGTGGGTCAAGGCTTTTCTGAAGGAGGCTTTTTTTTTTTTTCCTAGCCAACTACCAAGGAGGAGAGCCCTAAGGGCCTTTCCTGAGGTAACTTCCCTGTCTCAAAGATTTCTTCAAAGGAATTGTGTGATCTAAGATGTAAAGACGGAGCTCTCCAGACCTGGCAGGACAATATAAAAGTACCAGGTTCTGCACCAGGAATTTCTGGGGGCTGCAATAGAGTTTATGAACTTGAACAGCCTAACTTTTAGTTAGCATTTTCTTTCACACACAAGACCTTTTGTCAAACTATGTATAGAAGAGGGTGAGTCTACATGTCCACATGCATGGGTACCACCTCACAAAGACTTAAAATGTTGACAGAGTAATGGAAATTGGGTAGAGCTAAGCAGCCAGAGACTTCAGACTTCCTCTTAGAAACCAATAGTCAAGGCATTTCGCCACAAGTGACTCTCTCCTACTTTCTGTGGAAGCTAATTGGGGATTTTCTAATGTGTCTCGTTAGCAAAGATTACATCCCAGGATTAGTAACTGGGCATAATAGGAAGTGCCATTCACCCTACAGACTCCAGCACAACCGTGTTCCTCCCAGAGATTCTTCTAGCAAGACAAAAAATGTAAGTTAAGAAAACCCATAATATTCTGAAATTCTGATTTTCTTTAACCAACACAGGTCTCTCAAATAATAAAAAAGGGATGTAAGTATCCTTAAAAGACTAATGACATTTCACAGGTAATGCAATTTAGAAAGAAACACTTCCATGTTTTCTTTTCCAACAATGTGCATTTCTGTAAACTGCTATAAATCGCAATTCAAAAGCAGTGATCTCACCATCCCCAATCATTTTTTATACTGATCAAATGAATGCAGATACTCCCATTTGGGAGGGGCAACATGACATTTCCCTTGGCAGTTCTAAACAGGTCACAGACCTTTCACAGACCCTAAGGCAGTGGGAGGGAGCTCTTTGCTAAACCGTGTAACCAAATCAAACCAATGGTTACCCCTTTTCAAAACCACTGGAATGGTTTGCACAATGCTATTCACATAGCAGCACAGAAACTGAAAGAATGGTCATCCAATGGAGATTTCTTTCCTTTTGTTTAAACTTGCAGAGCTCACAAAGTAATACTTGGAAGGCAGACAATTACATTTACCATGATAAAAATATACATATAGAATCCACATGCATTTCTGTTGGCACTGCACAGCATAGTAACTGCCCATATGTGTGTCTATATATGCACACGTATGTATATGTATGTCTATTTATTGGAGGTGCTGCTTTGTTTGAAACCATAGGCACAAAGACACAACATGGCTGCCCTGGAGATGACCTATTGCTTTCAAGTTGCTTGAACACATCAGAATTTCCATTGTTAAGGTTGATTAATTGAAACTGATAAGTTACCATGGATAAAGATTGTTTTTCTGTTTAATGTGGTGGGCCTGATTTGGTAAATGCCTCATTCATGTAGCTTTGCAGTGGAGCATATGGGCAAGAGTCACTCAGCATCACAAGCATATACAATCTATTATGCTCCTATGGGCACAACTGAAAGGCCTTTCTGCTTTAATGACAAAGTTTCAATAAGAAATTCCATTTAAAGAGTCACTAGTAACATGAAACATGATTTTATAATTTATTCTTGGAGTTTCTGTGGATGATTTAAAAGATAATATTTAAATATACCACACACACACGCAGACACACAAAATATACCTTAGTATTAGTTATTGGGGATAAAGTATCACTTATCTTAATCGTGAATAGACACATAAGGAGACAAAAAGTTGCCATATCATGGTACCTTGCCTACATAGTGTTGTTTGGGTTGCCAAGGATATGCCCCCAGTGAGAGTTCATGCTGCCCAGTTCCCAGTAGGAAGGGAAATGACTTGGTGGCTAAGAAGCCCATTTCAGGATGCTTGTTTTTCTTATTGAAGAAACAGAAGGCATTTAGAAAGTCATCCCAAGAGTAGCACATCAAGCAGTGAAAGTATTCATATTTTTATAAATTAATTTCTTCTTGTACTTGGAAATTATTTTAAAAGAGTCAACTATATAAAAACATGAATATTTACTACTAACTATATGGCTGCTATTATTTTTGAATTATTGTACATAAACTCTTTTGTTTTTGCTTTTTTGTTTAGGTTGATATGCAATTATCCAGAAAAGAGTAATAACCAAAATTATGAAAGCCATGTTAATGAACTAAAGAACTAACTATGCCAAAACATCAAAGCGACAGTTACCATATTTAGCCTTTAATGTCTCTTCAAATAAATTCTCTGGTCATTCATGCCCAAGAAGCAGTTCAAGTTCAGCCAGCATTCCTCATTTAAATTAGATGGGTAGTCGCAGTTCAGTTTGGGGAGTAATAAAACACATTTGTCACAGCTGAGCACTGCTGCTGTGCATCTTTATGAAGGGCTGGGTGTCCATTGCGAAGCTAATCCACACACCATCACTTGTAGAATTCCCTCCTGCATTTTGAAGTGATAATCTGTATCTAATTTTTAAAGAAAAATTTCCTTTCCTTTCACTTTTTGAAGACCCGTTTCTTTGCAGGCCCTGAATAGAGATCATGGGTGAAGCAGTGCCGAACAGCTCTGATGTGCGTGGAACAAAAACCCACCTCTTTGTAGAACATAACAAATTATGCAGTGTTCACAGATGCGCTTCACATTGCCCTTTTGTGAGAAAACGAAGCCCCACTCTGTCCCCCCTTCCTCCAAGAGAGCCCAGGCCCCTAATGTGATCTGTCCTCAGGGCAGAAAACAAGACATCTCCTTAATGGGAACACTTTCCTTGAGTTCTTTTGGAAAGCTTTTCGTTTGGACCTTTGGGCTATGTAGTTTTTGCAAGTAAGAATTCCAAGTCACTAGCGGCTATTTCTATCAACAAGAGAACAGTCTGGGGTTTCTAGGATTACATTGTTGCCATTCCCATTGGGGGCCTCAGGATTATGCTGCCATTCCCACCTGATGCCTACCTTTGACTTTTAGATATTTAGTGGAAATCCTGTCATTGTATAATTGATATAATGCTTGAACTATATATGAGTAAACAAATGTGATGGTTTTTCCCTAATTAAAATGTCAAAATATATTCTTAAAAACTGTCTTTTTTTCCTTCTGTATTCCAGTTCTGGGTGGTTCTCATGGAGAAGATAGCATTGATAGGCAATCCTAGGTAACCAGGGATGCTGGTAAGCAATCCTGAGTCTCCAGAAAGAGCTTCTGTGGAAATGATGCCGAATGTAGAGACTGCTACCCTACCTCCTGGGACCTTTGTAAATCTGACATCTACTGAATATGCTGGTCTCAGTTACTGTCTCAGAATTCCAAGCCCTGGAAAATTCTCTGTGTCCTTAGTCCCTAGCCCCTACTTGAATTACAGTAGATGTTCCTAAAGTCCGTGGGATGGATGGATGGATGGATGGATGAATGAAAGAATGAACGAATGAACAAGGAGAAATGACAGCTAGAAGATGGTGTGGCCCCTTAGAATCCACAGCATTTGTGGTTTTCCCCCACACTGACCCTAGTCTTGGTCACATAATCTTATTTGACTGATACGGCAGGAGAGCAAAGGGTGAAGCCGGTAGAAATTTGAACAAACCTTGCACATAGAGTTTGCTATCCCCTGTTCTTGAGAACCCCAAGTTCATCTTGAAAATGCCTGAATCAACTTGCTTGATGATGAGAGACAAGAATCTGCCTGACCATTAGCTGTGCACACTGCTGTGTGAGGCTGCTCATGGTCAGCCAAAGACTAATGAACCCAGCCATGCAGAAGACCAGTCATTTGGGTCAAGACATCTACGGTAGCCCAACTTTGCCCCAAACAGCAGAAAACTGCACGTTATTTGCTAGCACCAGCTAGGGAGCTCATGCAGGGGAGAGGTGGGACTCTGACTTTCAGCCTGAAAGCCCTGGAGGTCCACTAAAGGGTCAAAGAAGAAATAACAAAGTATGAGGGTCGGGGAAGCAAAGAGAGAAATCCTTGGTGACCCTGACAGCTGATGCTCAAAGCAAGGACTAGTCAGAGTGACCGATGGTGGCAATCCAGAGTCTATATGTAAGCAAGTGCTGGAGAGAGGGGAGACAGGGGCTTAGCCTTCTCCCAGGTTGATTTGCATAGAATGGAGGGAGAGCAGAGGAGTGGCTTGATGGGAGGGAGGGGGAGAAGGGGGCTGGGAGTGCTTTCAGGAAGAATTCATGATGTTCTCTCTTTTTAAAAAAAAATTTATTTATTTATTATGTAGACAATATTCTGTCTGTGTGTATGCCTGCAGGCCAGAAGAGGGCACCAGACCCCATTACAGATGGTTGTGAGCCAACATGTGGTTGCTGGGAATTGAACTCAGGACCTTTGGGAGAGCAGGCAATGCTCTTAACCTCTGAGCCATCTCTCCAGCCCCCCATGATGCTCTCTTTAGTGAGAGGAGAGTTAGAGATATTGAGAGAGCATAACCTTGCTGTATCAAATAGAATCTCAAGGTAATGAACTTGAGACTCAATTTTGTGTACATGTGTGCCCTTGTGTGGGGGTACACAGGCAAACAAATATATGCATGTGTTGTTCCTAGTAATGCCACCTACTTCCTTTGAGATGGGTCTGTTATCATGGAGCTCACCAAGTAGGCTAGGCTGCTTGGCCAGTGAGTCCAGAGAGCCTCCTGTCTCCATTTTCCCAGCTCTGGGATGACAATGGAAAGCCACAATGCCTAATACCTTCTCGTAGGTTCTTCTCATTAAATTCAGGTGCCCGTACTTGCCAGGCAAGCACTACTGAGTCAACTCCCTGGCCACTGCAGTTCAGTCTTGTCAAACATTTGTTAGTTTACTAACTGCTAGGGATGCAGCAAACAAATTTACATAGGAACCTTACCCTGTCTGAATTCTTATTGCCAAAGAAAGTCTTGAAGTGGGGGTGCAGAAGCGTTCTAACTAAGCAAGAAGCACAGAAGAGTTCTAAGCAAGAAGCCATGGCTTCTTCATGGCAGGTAGCAAATGATGGAACTCCTTAATATCTCTTGTGAGGAAACTGGAAATATTAGATCTCTCAACTTGGTTGGCAGAATATAATCTAACTATCTAATATGATTGTCTTAGATTGTTATAGTGTTATTCTGGGTTTGCTTCAGTTACTTTTCTGTTGTAATACATTTGCTTCACATTCCAGAGGGATAGAGTTCATCTTGGTGGGGAAGGCATGGCATTTTTTATTCATTAACACTCAGGAAGGAGAGAGAGAGAGAGAGAGAGAGAGAGAGAGAGAGAGAGAGAGAGAGAGAGAGAGTCCCAAGTGAGGAGAGGTTGCAAGCCTCAAAACCCACACCCCAGTTATTTAATTCTTTCAGCAAGACTCTGTACAAAGCTTCTGTAGCCTCTCCAATAAATACCACCAGTGCAGGACCAAGCCAGTGGGGGATACTTTTCATTCAAATCACCATATTCCACCTCAGGTCCCCATAGGCCCATGCTCATTGTCATATCATACTGCAAAAATACGTCTAGTCCATCTTCAAAAGTTCCCATAATTTTTAAAAGTTTCAATACTGCTCAAAAGTTCAAAATCTAAGACTGGAGGTAATTTCTTAACGATGACTCCAAGTTAAATAGACAATTTACATACTCCCAGCATACAGGGACTCATTAGCTACATTACCATTAAAAAAGAGAGGAATAGAGGCATAGTGAGGAAGGGTAGGAAGGCAGGCAAACACCAAATCCTACAGTTCCATCTTCAGTATCTGGGTCTTTGGTTTCAAAGGGCTTAGGTGGTTTCGTCCCGGAGCTTTGCTGCCTGAGATATAAATCTCTGTCTTGGAGTGTTCCCATTCCCTGTATGCAACTCTCCTTGGTAGATGATGTCTCATGATTCTGGCATCCCCAATATCTTGAGGTCTCTACCACATTTATAACAACTTCATTCACTGGCTTCTCAGGGCATCTTTGAAGGAACTGTGACCCTATCACATGTTTCCTGGCCCTAGCAGCTTTCTGAAACTACAGAGGAAGAATCCAGAACTCCCTCAATCTTGCATTTTTCTTGTTTCCCAAACCAGTATCTCATGGATGACACTGGTAAGTTTGGCTGCCAGATGTGGTGTTCCCAGTCCTCTTAGACCACAGTTGCACCAGTACTGGGGCACTGGATTATGTGATCTTTTGGTGTCCAATTTCTTGAGTTCATTGTATATTTTGGAGATAAGACCTTTGTCTGATGTGGGGTTAGTGAAGATCTTTACCCATTCTGTAGGCTGTCATTTTGTCTTGTTGACCGTGTCTTTTGCTTTATAGAAGCTTTTCAGTTTCAGGAGGTCCCATTTATTAATTGTTTCTCTCAGTGTCTGTGATACTAGGATTATATTTAGGAAATGGTTCCCTGTGCCAATGCGTTCAAGTGTACTTCCCACTTTCTCTTCTGTGAGGTTCAATGTGGTTGGCTTTATGTTGAGGTCTTTGATCCATTTGGACTTGAGTTTTGTGCATGGTGATAGATATGGGTCTATTTTCATTCTTCTACATGTTGATATTCAGTTATGCCAGCACCACTAGTTAAATATGCTTTCTTTTTTCCATTTGCTATTTTTTGCTTCTTTATCAAAGATCAGGTGTTCGAAGATGTGTGGATTGATATCCAGGTCTTCTATTTGGTTCCATTGGTCCTCCTGTCTGTTCTTATGCCAATACCAGGCTGTTTTCAGTACTGTAGCTCTGTAGTAGAGTTTGAAGTCAGGAATTGTGATGCCTCCAGAAGTTCTTTTATTGTACAGGGTTGTTTTGGCTATCCTGGGCTTTTTTGCTTTTCCAAATGAAGTTGAGTACTGTTCTCGAGGTCTTTGAAGAATTTTGCTGGGATTTTGATGGACATCACGTTGAATCTATAGCTTGCTTTTGGTAAGATTGCCATTTTTACTATGTTAATCCTACCCAAGAGCATGGAAGATCTTTCCACTTTCTGGTGTCTTCTTCAATTTCTTTCTTCAAAGATTTAAAGTTCTTGTCATACAAGTCTTTCTCTTGTTTGGTTAGAGTTACTCTGAGATACTTTATGCTATTTGTGGCTATTGTGAAGGGTGTTGATTCTCTGTTTTTTTCCTCCAGCCCTTTTATCATCTGTGTACAGAAGGGCTACTGATTATTTTGATTTATTCTTGTATCCTGCTACATTGCTGAAAGTGTTTATGAGTTATAGAAGTTCCTTGGTAGAATTTTTGCGATCACTTATGTAAATTATCATATCATCAGCAAACAGTGAGAGTTTGACTTCTTCTTTTCCAATTTGTATCCCTTTGATCTCCCTTTGGTGTCTTATTGCTCTAGCTAGGACCTCAAGAACTATATTGAATAGATATGGAGAGAGTGGACAATCTTGTCTTGTTCCTGATTTCAGTGGAATCGCTGGGAGTTTCTCTCCATTTAGTTTGATGTTGGCTGTTGGCTTGCTGTACACTGCCTTAATTATGTTCCTTGTATCCCTGCTCTCTCCAAGACCTTTATCATGAAGGGATGTTGTATTTTGTCAAATGCTTTTTTGACATCTAATGAGAGGATCATGTGGTTTTTATTTTTTCAGCTTGTTTATATGGTGGATTACGTTGACAGATTTTCATATGTTGAACCATCCCTGCATCTGTGGGATGAAGGTGAGTTGGTCATGGTGGATGATGGTTCTGATGTGTTCTTGGATTCGATTTGCTAGTATTTTATTTAGTATTTTTGCATCAATTTTCATGAGTGAGATTGATCTGTAATTATTTTTCTTAGTATTATCTTTCTGTGGTTTGGGTATCTGGGTAATTGTAGCCTTATAAAAAGAGTTTGGCAATGTTCCCTCTGTTTCTATTGTGTGGAATAATTTGAGGAGTATTGGTATTAGTTCTTCTTTGAAAGTCTTGTAGAATTCTGAGCTGAAACCATCTGGTCTTGGGCTTCTTTTTTTTTTGAGACTTTTGATGACTGTTTATATTTCTTCAGCAGTTATAGGTCTGTTTAATTTGCTTATCTGGTCTTGATTTAATTTTGGTAAGTGATATTTATCCAGAAGGTTGTCCATTTTCTTTAAGTTTTCCAATTTTGTGGAGTACAGGTTTTCAAAATA